GACTTGTTTCTCGTCGTCTCTCCCTACTTTCGTCCCGACTATTGCGAGATCCCTCATCTTCTTCGTCTTCATAGGAATCCCGTCGATTCGAGGAGCTGGAGATGCCCTGGCTTTCGCTCTCCAAAGATGCGCCTACCGCTTCCTCACGTTTATTTCGCGATTCACTCGCTTGATCCTGCTTCGCGGACATCGGTGGAGGAACCTCCGGAGGAGAACCAGTAACAACTCTACCACCTGTTGTCCTGTCGTCCGACAACTGCGTATCGTTGGAAGATGCTCCGCCTGGTATCTGTCTACGTTCCGCCTCTGTTTGCTGCGCAACTTCGTCGGGCTCGTTGCCCCTGCCGAGCACTTCACGAGTCTCACTCGGCTCCATCATTATCTGCGACTGCAGCTGATATCTCTCTTCACCTGATGGATCATTCCGCGATGGAAGGGGCTGTTGCGGTGGAAGAGAGCGTTCTCTACCTGAAGGATCATTCCGTCGTTCTAGCGTATCCGTATCACCTCGTAATAACAAAGGAACATTTCTCTCTTGCCCCGGAAGAACGTGACCCGATGGATCGTTCCTCCTAGGATCGGACAGACGTTGCCCAGTCTGCACATGATGTTCCTGACCTGTAGGATCGTTCCTGCGTGGATCTATGGTACTCGATTGTCCTGGTACTTCGCGCAGGAAGGGAATATCGTTAGGCACTTCATCATTCTCATCATCCTGACTCGGTGGCGTTGGTTCGTGTTCCTGATGTGAATCCGTCAACTCGCCAGTCTCTAAAAATGTATTTCTATCATTCGAAGCGAATTCGTAGTTATCTGGCATTTGTTCCGTCAAAGGTGGATGAGACCGAGTTTGCTGCTGCTGTTGCTGCACCGATAGCACTTCAACGTTGTTCACCTCCTCCCTGAAATCCCGAATATTCGTCGCTTCTTTGGGACTCGTGCTCTGTTTGGGATCATTGTCCAACGTTTCTTTGTTTATAGAATCTCGCGAACCATAAATATCACGTTCCTTCAACGTTGCAGGCGCAACAACCTCGACATTTATGAAATCGGATGATTGTTGGATGTTCTCATAGTTCTCTACACTCTGCTCAGGAGTGTTCCACTGTTTGGGAGGTGGACGTGAGTGATCCTTCGCATACCATGCATTCTCCAACGTATTTTGATTGTACCATTGATCATAACTGCTTTGCGAGATACTATCCACTATTTTAGTAGCACCACTTTGATATGTATTCGATATTAGAGGATCTTGACCGACAATTGGTTGGCTATCGACAGAATGAGAATTCTCTATACCGCTTGACGCGTAATCCGGAGGTAGCACAGGCATATTATCGGGAACAGAACTGCGGATACTCACAACGTTGAAATTAGGAGGATGTTGAGCTCTCTCTTCTTGGAGAACGGAGCTCGAATGTACCTCTAATGATTCACCCAAAAGATCCACGTGTTTTCCCGGTTTGCTACTAAGATTAAGATGACCAAAACTGCTGGTTAATTCCTCTGCTGCTGTAGAACCAAAAGAACGGTCATCTTTTTCGCTAAGAATGGTTTTAGAAAGATCATTTTTCGGTGTATCATCAGTCAGTATGTTTAGATTATGATGATCTCCAATTGATGACTTAATATCGCTCGATTTTGCGTGACTGATTGAATCGTGAGGCGACACAGTAGTTGCGATAGAAGCTGCTACTGCTGCTTGCTTCTCGTTCTCTTGTTCATTATTATTGGGTGTATGTACAATATTTTCTACGCTTGTAGGTACAGTTGTAGATGCTGGAGTATAGTGGAATGGCGCCATGTGCACTTGTTGCCATTCGTTCACAGCAAACCTAACGCTGTTATTATTTTGTGATACGTTCTGCGCGAACGAACTGTTATCCGCACTCGATGGCTGTAACCATTGCGTAGAATGTACAGATTCGTTTTGCACGTTAGAATGTCTCCAATCGTGCGAGGCACTGATATTGCCCGACTGTGGCCAAGAAGCAAATGTGTCATCTACGTTATTTGTTTGCATTAAATGCGTGGATTGATGATGGGACTCGCGATTTTGATTATGCCATTGATTCGATACAACATTAGACTTATTACTCGCTTCGTTACTTTGTTGCTCATTGGTAGACCAGTTCATGGAATGTTCCTTATTGACCCCCTCGATAGGCGCATTGTATATTTGCGATGGTTGCGCACACTGATTGCCCATATTGTCGACTGTTGGTTGTTGCATTTCCTGCGACATGTTTTGATCCTGCCCTTGACCTAGAGTATCAGTATGATTCTGCCAATTACATTGTAATGGTAAGTTTGTTGTGTCGTCTTTACTCCAGTTATAACTGTTATGCGTCGCCATCGGTGATAGATGTGTTGATGTTGGGTGTGTCGATGGTGGGTGTGTCGATGGTGGATGTAATGGTGGTTGATCCTTCTGGCTCTGTTGCGGCATGAGTCTTTGCTGAGTATAAGCTGCATTTGACGATTGATGCTCGTTCGGCCATTGAGCATGCTCATAACTGGATTTCGTGTTGTTCTGTCGAGGCGGCAACGGATACTGCTGATTTTGATTATAGTTCGCGTAGGGCGGGAAAGAATCCGTGTAATTTGACCCAGTCTGACGAGCAGGCTCCGACCTAGGAGTGTTTCTGCCTGATACGGAGTTCTGATTAAGTACATCGGATGTATTACCATTAAGATTTTTGTAATAATGGTTTTGCACAGAACCAGATATCAGCTGTCCTTGATTCTGATACGAGGGTATGTAATGCTGTTGCTGTGATGGTGGTTGCTGCGGTGGTGATTGCTGCTGCTGGGTATCAGACTGTTGGTCCAGATTCCAATCCCAGGGATCCTTCCATGTATCACTCGCATGTTTTGATTCGTTCACAAGAGATTGCTGGGTGGTATCATTCGGCGGGACATCCGATTGAGACCCAAACATGGGTATCCACATATTTTGGTTGTGCATTCCATATGTGGCTGAATGATCCACCCGAGATCTGGCGGGTCTAGCTCGATAAGGATTCTATAATTGCAATTAAATTATTTTAATATCTAAATTATTTATTCTGTTGCTATAACTCATGACTTGTAAAGCATCCAAATATACTTACATTCATGCTGCAGGACTTTGCAGCCTGATTTACAGCAATCTTTGAGATCTGTAATAAATATAAACGATAAAATAGAACATGCGGTGGCATCTCGAATGAAGATTCAACAAAGACAGCAAGAATTAAGTAGAAATCGCAAAAGTATGCTCTCTAAATTCTTTAGAGTGGCATCTTACTCTAAAGAGTGAAAATTTAATCAGTCTTAAAAAAGAATAACTCAATTTTCAAAAATAACTCAATTAATAAAATTTTAAGAATAAAATTTCTCTTCACAGCGAGATTCACTCTTAAAAGTTTCAGAGTGACAAAATGTCTTCATATAATTCTATCATGCATATTCAGTATACATACGTCACTTTTATACAATTGGCAATAAATCAAGAATAATTTTCGCTTTTCATGTAACCACCTGAAGAAGAAAAGTTTATCATCAAAACATTAATATTTAACACGTCAAACGTCATTCGTGATCTGAGGAAAACGCTTGTCATTGCGACACTGACAAGTCTTAGTACACAGATGTAATGACAAATAAGTCATTAGCCGCAAGTTTTCGTGGTACTGGACGATTTCCGAAGATTCTCCAGCACGTCAAAAGAAGAAAAGAGAAACGAATGCGCGAAGAAAACGATCCCAAGTAAACGCAACAAGATTGTTTCGTAAATCTAGACGAGCGAAAGGAGGGCTTTCGGCCATCCGATAAGGAGCCCCACCAGTCGAGGAATCTCAGCCCCGACAGTGCGGAGGCGCTCGGTTTAACTCGGTAATTATGTAATCGCGGACGTGGCAGGGTGCCTTCCTGGCCATCGCCGTCCGAAGAACAAGGCGAGATCGTAGGGTTCAGGTGACCAGCTGTGAGAGTCGACGGTGCTCGACGGCGCTCGACTACGCGGGGAGAGTCGACGTTTGCATACGCGTTCACTCACCTAAAGCTATCGTCGCTCGCGTTGCCGTTTCCACGCGTCTGGTATGCGCATTATTGGCCGTTGTCGCCACCAGTTACTTCTGCGGGTTTCTTCCCACGACGGAGCAAACGTCCTCGTCCTCGTCCTCGTCGAGGTCGATGTCGATAGCCGCGCGCGGACACTCAATTCACTCAATCTTAGGAGTACGCGGACATTTCAACGTACGCGAGAAAGTAAGATAGACTTACAGAAAGAGAGAGAAAGAGAGAGAGAGAACGCGCGAGAGAGAGGCAAACACGACTCGCGGTCGAGCACGTCACGGATCCTTTCTCTCCCCCGACTCTCCGTTCCGTTCGACCACGGCAACTTTCCACGCGAGCGGAACCGGGACGAACGTCAAAAACCGAGGCCGGAAGCCGAGC